AGAATTAGGAAAAGAAATTTTGTTCCTTTTTTATCGAGAGGCTAAGACGACAGGTAAATCTGTGTTCGTGAGAGCTGATTGTTTAACAATTGATAAAGATAATTTTACGTATGACCTACTGGATGAAGATTGAACCTTTTTTTTATTGTTAGCAGGGAAATTGGTGGATCGTCAAATGGACGAAAATTAAAAACTTTACCTGTTATCCCTTGCTTAGAAGAAGTAAAAAGTCTGTTTATTAAATAGAAATCTATATATATAACCCATTCAACGGGTATCCGTCTGTTTGTCCTGTAACCGTTTGATAACGGACACTATGCACCATCTTGCCCCACCCGTGGGGTAAGATGGGGATATTATTTTTATATACTAATTAAAATGGTTTTCTTCAATATTGGCTCAAGAACAGTGTGCCCATTTATCACAACGGCTACATTTCTGTAGATACACAGTATAACCCTCCACAATAGAGGCATTCTTCAGTTAAAAGACAATACAGTAGACCACCCCTATAACACTGTTGATTATTCCGTTTTATATGAATTCCCCTTGTACGAGTCACTTAGATTTTACATATACGTGTGCCGGGCTGTGTTATAGGGGGATTCGACTGTTATATTAACTAGAAGAACTATTTATTAATGGAACATTAACGATAAATATATCGAAACAAAAGTGCAATGAATATTAATCATAAAACGTATCGAAGCTCAGAAAAAAATTATTAAATAAATATAAAAGTTTGAACTTACTCGTATTACTTTACTTTACCAGACGATACTGTCACTTCGCGCATGCTCAGTTACGCTATTTTGTAAGCAGACGATATATTTTTTATTTTTTCGTGGAAAAAAGTTTTTATTTCGATTGTTATCTCACATTTTATTTCTTGTTAAGATAGTATTTAAATTAAAAAAATGTTTTCATAAATAAAATAAAATCCTCTAGCCAGCGGCAGAATTCATATTCGTGGCCACCATCTTGTCCCGACGCGCACTTTTCACACCGACTGCAAACACAGGTAAACTTCATTTCAAAACTAAATAATTAAAGGTTACTTCAAATACCATAATATCTTCATCTAAAAGGTAATGTAGCAGGTGTAAAATTAGATGAAGTATTGAAGTACACATGTGCCGGGCTGTGAACGGCTCGCGTATTTGTAAAATTTAAGTGACTCGTACAACATGGAATTCATATAAAACGGAATAATCAACAGTGTTATAGGGGGTTCGACTGTATTGCTAAAACATGGATAACGTTCTTACTTCCAAACAAAGAGAGCGATTCGGACGTTCTCTCGTCCCGTGATCTCTTTTGAGGTTGACATTTAGTTCCTCTAATAGCAGCTTAACCGCGAATAAACAGACGTCCCCATCTTACCCCATAGCCCCATCTTGCACCACTCTCCCTTACTTTAGGCAGATGGTTCAAATAGTCTAACTCCTTGTTAACAGACTTGCGTTAATTAAGCATTGTATAAGGCATTTAAAGGAGTGCTTGCACCCCCTTCAGAGGCATTACATTACGTCGCAGGAAGACTGAATAAAGACGTCTTATTGGTAGAATTTACACCATTATTTTCGTATATTTAAAAATCTTTGAAATTTCACATTTCTTGTATCTTTATAATCTTTAATATTGGTTCGATTATATCAATAGAACGGTTGTAAACGTTCCAGAAAATTGATCAAATTGAAAACAGTTCGTTTGATTCTCGACAATTCTCGTCATTCTCAGCGGTAGCTGTTATATAACAATTACTATTTGTTGTTGAAATACTGAATATAAATTCTACGTTTTACTTATATATAAGTTACATTAATTAAATTAATTCTTCGTTTATCATTTAAGTTAACTTTTATTATTCTCTGTGAAATTTCGCTAAATTTTTTCTAAAATTGTTCGAATACTCCACAAAAAGTGTAATGTCTTCAAGAATACGATCGCGTGGAAATTTTCGACTGGATCCGACATTGAAAAGAGAGTGAAAATTCCGTTAAAAGATATTGTCTGGACAACAGACTAAATTAGAGAGTAGTTAAGATATAAAGTGGTCGTTAACAATAAGAATAGGAATTTTATCACTCAATAACAAATTAAAATCGATTTCAAAAAGTATTCAGAATATCGTGCAAAGAACTGTATTGTATTAAATTAATAAGCATTAATTATTGTAATTTTAAATTTTTGCTACTCAAATGGCGAGTGGAACATCCACCAGAAAGATCCGAATTGGATTCCTGCTCGGAGCTCATTCTCCCTTTTCTGCTGCATTTCTTCAATTTCATTTAATGCTTATCTTAGATTTCATACTTATAAAATTCAATTTCTTTCCTCTACAATTCCCAAACCAAATATATTACCTCTAGTGTACCCATACATTTTTTCACTAATTCTTGTTTACTCTTTCTACAGAATTCGTTCGAATACTCTTATAAATCACGGATTGTTNACTTTATCTCTTGCACTTGTACCAAAGTATATATATATATATATATATGAGGATGTTTGTTTGTTCGCTATACACTCCTCTGCCGTTCTACCAATCGCTACGAAACTCGGATAAACGCGAAATAGATACGCCATTATAGCGACAGATAGCATATAGCGCTTGCCTGCGTAGAGTGTAGTAGTATTTTGCTCCTGTAAATCATACTTTTCCTGTTAGCAATAGGATCGTGCCGGGTATGTATCTAACTCCGTTCGGAGGAAAATTTTATTGAAATAACGTGACTTGCGGTATAAATCGGAAGTTCGTATATAGGTAATTCGGTCCTTTTTCTTACGATTTTCACGTCTGGTTTACCGTTTGATATTCGGCTGTGAATGGCACACAGTTTCTTAGAGTTAACATTAGAAAGTATTACCTGTAATTCCTGTCTACTTGACCCATTCAATTTGTGCCATTTCGTACCGTCCCAGTAACGCGATAAAGATAGGATGAAATAACCAAACTCTTTGTATGGTTTTCATTTAAATGTTTGCTATATTATAGTATTTGATTTATATCACTACAAAGATTATCTTACGTAAGGGTTTATCACACCGAGTGACCAATCTAACACATTTTTAAAATTATTTCTACGTCTACAGTACACAATTTAAACAATTTTTAAAATGTGTTAGATTGGTCACTCGGTGTGATAAACTCTTACGTAATATAACCTTTGTAAATATAAATAAAATAATATAATAGAAAGGTTAGAAGTACGAAATAACCTTAACGTCTGTTTCCAATTTTGCCCGGGCAACGTCGGGCTTACCTGCTAATGTAATACATAATTGAACGGCAATAGATTATAAGACACTAGACTAACATTAACGTTACTGATTAAAAGAAATTAATAAATTTTTACACAAAGGCTTCCTTACGACTCCATTAAATATGCAAAATAAAAATTTCTTTCATAAAAGCTTCATAATATCGTAAAGACCAAAGGTGTAATGTATTATTTTTTGTATAGGCCTACACCTCGTTTGATGTTAAATCATTTTATTTTTATCAACTTCGGTATTTTTTTGGAATGTCAAACTATTCCGTCCATATATTTTTTCCCTAATATTTTAGTGGATAAATCTGTACATAGAGATTAGAACTATTTTAGATTTATCAATCGGGTAAATATGCTAATGTGATAAAATTTGCCTGTGATATTTGAAATGGTCCGAAATGTACGAATTTATAAACATTTTCCTTGTATTTTTGTAGCGTGTGACAATAAAATAATAAATCATAAATACTGAGCACGTGTGTTTAAAAACAAGTTTACACATTTCAAATGAATTTATTTAATAACTGGTACATTCCTTGTACAAATTTTAAAACTTACATTGCGTAAAACTTGTATATAGGCTACAATACTAGGCCTATATATATATGCCTAGTATTGTGTATACAATATTAAAAACTGAAATTTATAAAATTTTAGTTTTAACAAGTATTCCATAACTTTTTAAATTCATTTCTAAATGCTTTCACTACGCTTTCTTCATTGGTAAATAACGTGATTACAGTACTGTACCTGCAAGCGCTTTCGTTGTCCAGTTCACAGATCCCATCATTAATGATGCATTAGGTATGTCGAACTGTGTGTTCTGACTGCTATGCCTATAATAGACAAGATATTGGATATAAGAAATGGGTACATTAACTTTAAGATTAAGAAAAAATGTAACAAAAAGTAATTAATTGAAAATATGCACGATATACAGGTTGTTTTTTTTTGAACTCGTAACGGTCATCGAAAGACGGTTAAAAATGGCCGTTGGACTTTTGAATGCCGATTGGTCAGCAGTTAACACGTCACACGGCTATAGATTTGCATAAGACTATGGCTTGGTGATAGGTGATTGAACACGAATCATACANAATAAATTTTTACACAAAGGCTTCCTTACGACTCCATTAAATATGCAAAATAAAGATTTCTTTCATAAAAGCTTCATAATATCGTAAAGACCAAAGGTGTAATGTATTATTTTTTGTATAGGCCTACACCTCGTTTGATGTTAAATCATTTTATTTTTATCAACTTCGGTATTTTTTTGGAATGTCAAACTATTCCGTCCATATATTTTTTCCCTAATATTTTAGTGGATAAATCTGTACATAGAGATTAGAACTATTTTAGATTTATCAATCGGGTAAATATGCTAATGTGATAAAATTTGCCTGTGATATTTGAAATGGTCCGAAATGTACGAATTTATAAACATTTTCCTTGTATTTTTGTAGCGTGTGACAATAAAATAATAAATCATAAATACTGAGCACGTGTGTTTAAAAACAAGTTTACACATTTCAAATGAATTTATTTAATAACTGGTACATTCCTTGTACAAATTTTAAAACTTACATTGCGTAAAACTTGTATATAGGCTACAATACTAGGCCTATATATATATGCCTAGTATTGTGTATACAATATTAAAAACTGAAATTTATAAAATTTTAGTTTTAACAAGTATTCCATAACTTTTTAAATTCATTTCTAAATGCTTTCACTACGCTTTCTTCATTGGTAAATAACGTGATTACAGTACTGTACCTGCAAGCGCTTTCGTTGTCCAGTTCACAGATCCCATCATTAATGATGCATTAGGTATGTCGAACTGTGTGTTCTGACTGCTATGCCTATAATAGACAAGATATTGGATATAAGAAATGGGTACATTAACTTTAAGATTAAGAAAAAATGTAACAAAAAGTAATTAATTGAAAATATGCACGATATACAGGTTGTTTTTTTTTGAACTCGTAACGGTCATCGAAAGACGGTTAAAAATGGCCGTTGGACTTTTGAATGCCGATTGGTCAGCAGTTAACACGTCACACGGCTATAGATTTGCATAAGACTATGGCTTGGTGATAGGTGATTGAACACTAATCATACACTCGCTTAGTGTTACAACGGGTAATCGCTGATTGGTCGGCCACGTCACACGATATTTGCATAGTGCTACACCTCGGTAAGCACTTATTAGTAATCGAGTCCGCGGTCGACGCTATAGAAAGATTAAAGCCGAAGCGGGAATTTTAAGTTCACTTCACTTCGTGACTTCGGAAGTAAGTTAAGTTCGACACGACAGAACATACTTCAGTTTCGTCTAAGTTCGGTTTGGTTTGGAACTTCAGGAATGCATCAGTGGTCGAAGCAAGTCTGGATACCCTCGCTGTTTGTTCTTCATCCGCCGGAAGGAGATTACTTCTAGTGACAACTCGTTGACACGTCGCAAAGTGTTTTCTCGACGAACCTGTTCAGCATATTGGACTATTTGAACTTTATTTTATTTGTGTGCAATTGGCATACCGAGTTGGTCGCCAATTGTTTGTCAACAAATGCCAGTTAAATTTACAATGTTATTTGTAAACGTTGTAAATTTGACTTAGTTAGAATACAAAGACATTACGATTATATATGTTAATGCAATACTTAAAATAATCCAATCATTATTTTAATAACATTCTTACCTTTTCTATGGAACCTTTCAATCTGTGCCTCAGCCAAAGCCGTCCCATCGCCTGTGTTATCTTTATTAGTAAAAACCCTTATTCTCACTCCTTCCTCGGGACGTTTTATAATGATATTAGCCAAAAACGGACTGGTAATTAGATATACACCAACGTTCATAACTCAGCACTTGAGTTCTCCAAAGAGAAGCAGACATCCTAACGAAGTGTCGCTCCGTAAATCGTTACGCCTGACAATTCGTCCATTACCGAATATTCTTTTATAATCCACATTGGTGTCGGGGAAGAAAAGAATTTTCGTGTAAACGTCTTTCTTCTTCTTAGATGGTGTTAGATTATACGCGTCAAAATGTGTTGTTAAAGTTGTCATCCCATAATTTTTCCAACTTGTACTCGTATCCCATAACTTTGCAAATTCATTCGTGTATGCTTTCACTATATGTTCTTCACTGGTAGTAACAACACTTTCGTGATTACCAGTAAGTGCTTTCATCGTCCAGTTCAGAGATCCCATTATTACCAACTGGTTGTCGATTATAGCAAATTTTATGATGCATTCGGTACGTTGAACTGTGTGTCTCACTGCTATACCTGTACAAGATACTGGATATAAAAAATGGGTAAATTAACGTAAAGTTATGAAATCTTACATGATATACGCTATACTTAGATTATTTGTTTTGAATACAGATATAACAAAATTTGTGTACTTGTTAAATATGTATAGGATGCACTGCTTTAAGAATAAGAAACGATGTAATAAAAAAGTAATTTACTAAGATACGCTTCTTGTTTAGACTTCTTAATGACTTGTGAGCACTAAGATTGGCCTTATTTTACCGCTAGACTTATTACACCTTACGAGCCAAAGCAGACAAAACAAGTAGTAATTGTGAATAATGGGCAAGACGCAAGTAATTGTTGGATCAAAATACGTATATTGAACTGGATAATAATCCGACTGACCTTCTTAACAAAAAATTTAAAAAAGTCAATTGTTAAACTTGAAAAACAAAACCTTATTAACCAAACAGAAAAACATTTTTTGTCTCCTAAATACCGTAGTACAGTACAAACACTCGAACACTAGGCAATTTTCATCTAAGTTTATTCAGTTTACTTGATACGTGTGCGTATTGTTTACACACGTTTCGGGCTTGTTACGCCCCTCTTCAGCCAACTATTTTAAAATTAGAGAATACATACGAATTACAAATTCCGGTATACTTATAAAAGATTTTTTACAATTTATATATATAAGCAAACACAAACATTATACCGAATATACCTTGAGATTACAGAACTCCAAAAAACCTTAACGCATTTTCGCGTGACTTATGCTTCTAGTTATTTCTTATTTATTCAATAAAAAAAATTTTTTCCTAATAAAAATTCTTCATCTAATAAAATCTTATTTGTATCCGCGTTAATCAATTAAATACTGTATACATTTATTAGACATACCTCCACGTATTTTTGGCTTTTTAACGTCATACACTCGAAGGGAACTTTTACACACGACATCTGTTTCAAAGCACCCCTATGAAGTCGGTGTAACTGAGTATTTTCTGGTTATTCTGCATTAAATTGTATTCAATTCTAACATACAAATAGGTTTCTACTCTTTCATTCTTCTTTTTATACAGAGTCATTACGCAGTGCTGTACTCATTTCCATATTGTTGCGTGGCAGATACGGCACTCGTGACGATCACAGAAGTCGTTAGTTCATTTTAGTTTGTAATTTGAAGTCTTCTTCTTACAATTTTAAGAAAATAAACCTATGTTTTTTATAACCCAGTAGATATCTTTTCATACTTCTGTGCAAGCTTAAAGTTTATTTTATTTATTTCATTGTTAATTTCTTCGTACAAACCCTTAATTACTATTGTAGTTTTTGTTTCGTTATATATTATTAAAATGTCATCGACATATCGTTTATAGAATTTTGTTGATACTTTCATCTATGGTCTATCATTATTAACTCTACTAATTTTGGTCCTATTACCGATCCCATACTTATTCCTTCGTCCTGTTTTTAATAATCTGCTTCAATTTCAAAATAGTTACTTCTATTAGATGCGTTATTCCGTCTTTTACTTTAAGTTTTAATTTATTTTCTATTATTTGCCACGTTATTGATGGGTACATATCTACTATATCTAATGTGAAGCTCCGGAAGTGGGTCGAAATTCATGCATAGAAAATGTTTTTAATTTCATATGAAAAAAAATTTAATACGTAATAATTATTATTTAATATTGTAAAAGAAACCATCAAACGCAAAATGAATATTTTATGTCCATATAACGAGGAGGGGGGCCAATTAGAGAGCGGGGGCAGATCGGCATCGATCTATCGGAATGTTCGATCTGGGACCAAGAAGAAACTTATAAAAACCACGCAAAAAAAGGATGTGACGTTCTTGGTTCGTAGTTCTTGGCCTTTGGTTCGCAGTGCTCCTCTCCAGGATTCTGGTCATCCGGACGTTCTCCCACGAAAGCTTCTCAGATATTCGGAGGACTCATCTTCACCCTCCCGTGCCATCAAGATCGTTAAAGTCCATTTTTTAGATAGAAGACCTTGGTCCAAATAGTGTTGTGCAGCCAGGAGTAGACGTCTTCACGCCACCATCGCCGGAAAGAAACACTACCGTCAGAACAGTTGAACTTTTAGTGTTACGAACTTGTTTCTCGACTTTTGGATAGGTGTTACGCCGTTTTAAGGATTTGTTGTAAGAGAAATTTTTATATTTAATAAACTGTTTGCGATGGAGGACCTGTCTCAATAAGTTTTTCTACTCTCATGCGACAGTGCTGACCGCTCGATTGTCGTGACACTTTCTCCCTCACACTAAGCTAGCTATCTTAAACGTTTCTTCAATATTAATTTTGTTTAATTCTTCTATGAGTTCATCTGTGTTTTTAATTGAGAATTGCCCAATTTCTTTCAAAAACTTTTCTTATATAGCCCTATATAACGTGGAGTATTTAAAGTCCACTATTGGCCTAACTTTTTCTCCTATTTGGGGGTTTTTAGTTGTCGTTTTTTTTCGTTCAAAATAAAGCATTTTTCGATTGGTGTAATTTGGTAATCCGTTTTTTAAGTTCTAAATATAGCCTATAACTTCTCTGGGAACAATAGGTAGTTTACGTAACTTTACGTTATTTATTATTTCTTTTTAACCCATTATTGGCTAACTATTATAGTTTGTTTTGATTTGTCAGCTTTTATAATTTCTAGTTGATTTTCTTTTAAAAAATCATATAATACTTTGATTTCATTTTTATTAGTGTTGCAACGAATATTATATTCGGCCTCAGGCCAAATACCGAATAGTAACCGAATATTCGTTACATCACTAATTTTTATTTCTAATAATTACTTTCCCTTTTTCTGTGGTTATATATTTTCTAATTTTATTACTGTCTCTGGAAGATCGTTGCATATTTTGTCCAAATTCGGTATTATGTCTAAAACTTCCCATTTATTAGGACAATTAAAGTCTAACCCTTTGAATAATACAAATTTAAAATAATATTTGTATTTTAAATTTTACGAAAAGAAACACACGAAAAAAATAATTAATTTAAACAGATTCGGTGAATTTTTTGCATTAGTTACTTAATACAAACATGTTTTATTTTAAACAAAAGAAACTTCAGAAGTGTAGTGAGAAGTTATTTTCGTTACTTTGAGTGTCTGAGAGTCGAAGTTAATACAAGTTTTCTTCTACAGAACGTATAATAAACATTATTTTTATATTATTTCGATTATTTTTACAATATTCAACACGCATAGGATCTAAAATAATGTTTACTCGCTTAAATACTGACTAAGAACATTAAATTAGCTAATTAGAGCTTTAAAAAAACGAATTTATAACGACTTTACTTGTTAGAGGAGGCGGGGCTTTCCGCGGCAACTTGAAACTTTCACGAGTCTGTGATTCGTTAAAGTAATATCTATAGAAACAGAAATAGCCAATTAAAGTTTAGAAGGAGTTTCCCTTTGATTGTTCTGAGCCAATTGTACAGTTATGTGCTTCTAATGTAGGGATGTCTTAACCGAAATGTTTATGGGGTGGTAACAAAACACTGATTGGCTTAAACAAAATCAATCCACCTACAGAATAGTAAATTTGAGCTTAAATNATTTCTAAGTAAAAATTGAAAGTGTCTGTAGAAGTAATTTTTTAACATATTTTTTTTCTTGATAAAGTTATAATATTTATTATTATTATCTACACATGTTAGTCCTTAAATATACTTGTATATTCGGCCACAAGTATATATTATATATACTTGTGGCCGAATATTTAAGGAAATTACAAGTATACATTATATATACTTGTGGCCCAAAACTCCTTGACTTCTTCCAATGCGGCCCAGAGAAACAAAAAGGTTGGACACCCCTGACTTTGAGTGTCTGAGAGTCGAAGTTAATACAAATTTTCTTCCACAGAACGTATAATAAACATTATTTTTATATTATTTCGATGATTTTTACAATATTCAACACGCATAGGATTTAAAATAATGTTTACTCGCATAAATACTGTCTAAGAACATTAAATTAGCTAATTAGAGCTTTAAAAAAACGAATTTATAACGATTTTACTCGTTAGAGGAGGCGGGGCTTTTCGCTGCAACTTGCAACTTTCACGAGTGTGATTCGTTAAAGTAATATCTATAGAAACAGAAATAGCCAATTAAAGTTTAGAAGGAGTTTCCCTTTGATTGTTCTGAGCCAATTGTACAGTTATGTGCTTCTAATGTAGGGATGTCTTAACCGAAATGTTTATGGGGTGGTAACAAAACACTGATTGGCTTAAACAAAATCAATCCACCTACAGAATAGTGAATTTGAGCTTAAATCGCCGCGTATTCGATTAAACGCAAATTAATCGAATTTTTAGATTAATTTATTCAAATCAATCAAACATAACTTTACATTATATATATTTCTAATTTATTTAAATTTTTCATTGTACCTTATTTCTTTCATAACTGCTTAAATTTTATATGGGAACACATATGACTTTAATATATAAGCCTATATTAAAAAAAAAAAACTTTATCGACGTAATGAGAGAAGATGGTAATTGTTAGACTTTTCGGAAGAATTTATAAACGAAGTAGGATCATATCCGGAAAGTTTAATTAGGTAAATTACAAAAATATTTTTAAAAATTAGAAAAATTTAAAACGATTTCTAACAGCCGTTCCTATTGATCTTTACGAATCGGCCATTGTACTCAATGATATACTTGCACACCTGTTATCCCTGGGGCAAATGATTACACTCAATTCTTGCGATATTGTCAATGATGTCAAATATCCCAACTGTAAAGTGAGAGAAAAATTCATTAACCT